TATATATATATATATATATATATATAAAATCTTAACTGTGTATAAGACTGTGTATATTTTTATAAGTTCTAAAACATAACAATGTTAATACATCCAAAAGTGTATTGTAAATAGTATTTAAATACTTATTTAACAGAAAAGCTATGTGAAGCTGTGCAGCTAAATAAAATCCCTGTACTACCCTTTGTTACAATTTAACACTTGCTTGTTAGAAGATGATAGAATGCACTGTTACAATTGATGATTTATCAGAATCATATCTCGTAGAACTGGTATAAATGACTGTAGTCTGCTAAGCCAAATCGTGGTTGAAGTCAATGCTAGAACAATATAACTATATTTTAAAACATGGCGACATTAAAGAAGAAATTGAAGAATATTGCTTTTTTTCTAACAACAGGTTATATGTTATTAAGCTGAAATGTGCAACTTTATAATATTACTTTGCTCATAACAATCATATGAGAAAGTATGTGTTATAACCACACTAGTTAATTCAATTTCTCAGGTTTCAAGAAGTGTTCAACTTTTTATTATATTATTGATCACATTAAAATGAACAGTGGTGATCAATTTTATTACTCTTGTTATTTATTGAGAGAAGTTCAAAAGTACTTTGAGTGATTGAACTCATTTTGTTTCTCACTTTGTGAAAAGTCCCTGTTCCTACTCTTTGTATTAAATTCAGTTGAATGAAAATTACAAAACAAAATTATAAATATTGTGCTGCTTTCTGAGTCATTGCTTTTATTTTACTTTTATTCAAGTATTTTCTGTAATACAAAATTATTTGATTTTACTTTACCTGGTGGGGTCTGCTTCTATGTTTTTCTGAGCTGCTGCATGTTTTGCTTTGTTTGTGTATGTGAGCCTGCATTTAATGTATTACCTAGGTACTGGTAACTAATTTAATACTAGTATAATTATGTACAATCCTGTTAATTGATATGTACATTATTTTTTATGTATTTCTATTAAAATAAATGCCAATTCGATGGAAAAGAATTTCCAATGTAATTTTGTATGGGGATTGTTTCATTGTCAAATGAATGTATATTTGTGTTTGATTAGTGAATACTAACTGTCTTGTGAATTGTTTTTCAGGTTGAGCCAGACAATGACAATTTTGAGCAAGCCATTGCAAAATACATGGCAACTATTGGAACCCCACGTAGAAAATTTAGATTGAATAGAAGTCCTAGCAAATACGAAAATTTTTTTGCTGATGTACCTCAGGACTTCATAGATGCTGCTGTGAAAGTTTTGAAAGAAATACCCCTTCCAAAAAATGAAAACGAAAGAAAGGTATTCTATTTCTTTGTATGCAGGTTTTCCATTGTTTCATTGTATTGTATTCTATAACTTTACCACATAATGTTTTTTTTTATAGTAAAACATTATGTCACAAAACATTGAAAATTTATCCTGTGTCTTTAAGCTAAGGTGTTGAAATATTTTTATTGAAATTATTTTAGGTCTTACAAACCTAAAGAAGCAAAATGCCAAAATGATTGCTATGACCTATCTTGTAGACTACCATCAGTTCACATCTAAATTCTATTACAAATAGAATTAAAAGCCATACAGAGCTAGTGGTGCTGCAACAACATACTTTCTCGCATTATTTATAAATTTGCAAATTTTCAAAAATTCAAAGAGTTCATCAAAAATAAGACTTGTGCCATTTTTTTTAGCTACCCATATATTATCAATGGAAAAAAATTGGAGTGTTTTTTCAGAAAATGTGTTTTTTTTATAAATGACATTAATTTCAAGCAGAAATTATGCGAAAACCACTTGCTTTTTCAAAATATGAGTTTTGAGAAAATTTTGTGTAATTAGAATTATTCATTATATTCTTGTTATTTAATATATTATTTACCTGTTGGTGGACACAGTGCATTGCACTCTTTTTGTCATGATACCAACCTGCGAACATATAATGCTGTTCTGCACCATGCTACATGTATTCACACCATGTATTCATCCACGATGCTACTACCAACGTGGGGAAACGTAGACATACTTGTATTCACGTGAAAAGACCCTAACCTAGCATTGTAATATAACGTTATTTTCTCTAACCTAAAGCAAACATGAAGGAAAATTATACAGATGTTTACAAAACAGTTTCAAATTTCAAAACCACTTTATTTTGAAATATCAGATTCAAAATGTAATATTGCAATGTTCAACTAGAAACATGAATAGATCTCTACCCATCCTCTTGCAATCTTTTCGCCACAAATATGCCACGAGATGGCTGCCCAAATCGTTCTGGCGTAAACCACCGTGTGAAAGGCGATGCGCCACAGGCTTTCGATTGTGTTTGTGGAAACGCCTGTCACTGGGTCAACAAAATTAAGTGAATGATTCACTGTCACATGAATAAAATTATGTTGGGTTAGAGCTTGGTATCCTCTCCACATATCTGTGATAATAGTAGTTTGAGGTTGCACATGTTGTTGAATCGTATTAGAATGCCTTCTATTTCCGGGGCAAATCTGCAATCTCCCTTCGTTGGTTTCGCAATCAATGATGCTAAGCATCCAGTTACCCTCCACTATTTAAACTTTCGTCAGCCGATTTTACACTCCTCAATTTCTATGACTGAGTTTGGTCCGCCAATTCTCGGTGCTTGCAAATATCTTCTGTCCATAGCATTCATGCAAACGAAAGTCACGCAGAAATGATAGCCACTCCGCATTAGTGTTTGACAATTTTTTCCCTTCGTCGGAACTCTGGATCACAGTATCTTCGCAGGAATTTTATATGCCAAACAGTACATAATTCAACATCCACGCAATACGTCATCCTCATAAAAGGTAAAGAACAGCCGAATTACCTTCCAGACTGGACGAGGTTCGAGGGGAAATCATTTGTCCAAAATTTGGATATATTTATTAATGGTTGACCAAAATTATATAAAAGGACTGAAAATTGTTTTAAAAAAAAAGTATAATTCTAACTGAGTAGGCCGTAATATCAAACAATTTTGTTTAAGGCAAAAATTCCATTTTCAACGTTGTAGTTTTGGTATGTTAACTTTTTACAATTTTCGAAAATTCAGAGAGTTTGCCGGAAATGAGACTAGCTCAAGTTTTTTACTGTTCTTCGATACATATGTAAAGACAATTTGAAGAAAAAAAAACCCTCTGTAAAGAGATTTTTTTGAGAAAATGAGTGTTTCAAAAAATTTAAAATTGTCTATATTTCGCACAAAATTACGCAAAAACAACATATTTTCAAGAAATTGTGCATGACCTTATTTCACAATGTCTTCAAAGAACAGATTTCATTAAAGAAACTAGAGGTTTCACCACACACTTTCATGCATTATTGGGAACAGTTACGTAATTTAATATTACAATTTCTGCCCTCACTTCAGATATCACTTTAGAAAGTCAAACAAAGCGCCTGCGGTGCATATCTGCAATTATTTCGGTAGTCAGGAACAGAAGCCGTATCTTACTACTTCAAAAGAAAAAGCATAAATAGATATCAACTGATATAATATTTACAACACAATTTGAAACCAAGCAAGGATAATTTCATATATAAATTGAACATGCAGAACTAAAGGCCATTCAATATATCGCCTTAGGAAAGCATACGAAACTATGGTATCATTACCTAATGTTCATCTTATGCATATTTGTTTATATATTCTTCCCGAATTTAATATAGTTGAATGAACTACTTTATTGAACATAGAGACATTGCAACATTAAGGTTAAGTATATAAAGTCTTCTTATCTCATCTCTCTCCCATCCATGTCATCGTTCAATAATGAAATTCTTGGAATAACTTGTCAAACTGCCATATCGCTGTCTTGTGTGGCAATGCCGTGTGAAGGATTATATTAAGTAATTCCTCATAAATAACCAACTCTATTACTAATTAACTAACTAAATACCGATAGTAAAATTATCTCTCTCAAATTTATTTTTTAGAGAGAAACATAATTGGACTAATTTCAATTAATGTTTGTGGAGTGATTGAAAGAAAATCAAATCAATTTATTGGGAATACAAATTGTCGAATAATGTAAAAATCGAATTAAATTAGGAGTTAAAAAAGTAAATTGAAATTAACGTAACATTAATTATTTTGCATATCCATTCCTATTCTCTGAAACTTTTTGTCGTGGCACATTGTTAGTGGGACACGTGTATATATTTCATTAAATTGAAGCAGAAATTGCTTAAAAACTGTTCTTTTTTAATTGTACATGAGCTGGGTTTTTAGAACATTTTGTTTAAGGCAAAGATCTTTATCTCCAATTTTGTAAATATGAAATGTTTTACAAAATACAATTTTCGAAAATGTGAAGAGTTCAGTGAAAATTATACCTCCGCTTTTCTTTTAAGCGTTCTCTGTTTTATTGTTGGGAAAAAATTGAAGAAAACATTTTGAGCTGTTTTGAGAAAATAGTATTTTTTTAGAACTTGCATAAATTTCAGGCACAAATTACGCAAAAACGACTTTTTAAAAAAAAAAAAATTACATGACCTTTCTAAAAAGCAAATTTTTAGAACAGATTTTGTTGAAGACAAAAATCTTCAATTGTGTAGTTCTGAAATTTCGCAATTTTTGAAAATACTCGTACCAAGAATTCGTTGGAAATGATACTACCACTATTTTTTTTACTGTCCTTTGATAGATATGAGGAGAAAATTTAAAGTAAAATTTGGAACCGTGATTTGAGAAAAAAAATGTTAAACTTTTTTTAAAAAAAGTCTATATTTCCCGCAAAATTTCCCGAAGCTACTCACACAAGGTGCGTTCACAAAGTTTCAGGGTCCTTTTTTTCCTGAGTAAGGGAGGGCGCGCTGACCGTTTCCACCGCCGCAGACCCTTTCCACCGACAGGTCGGTGGAAACTGTCTGCGCGCCCTCACTTCTCGACAGGGTGAAGTAGCGGGGGGCGTCAGCTAGCCATCCACACCAGCGGCAGTTGCCTCTGAGACACTGGAGTGAGCATTTTTAAAGTCGTGAGATATATTTAAGAAATACATTTGTGTAATTTTTGAAAAAACAAAAGAATATCCCAAAGTGAACTATATGCCATTTTAATCTGCACCACTGTTTTGCACTACCTGTTGGAAAAGTTTGAAGACAAAATTTGGAGTCATTTTTCAAAATTGGCGTTTGAACGTTTCTGAAAATGCGAAATTTTCAGCTCATTTGAACAGAAAACTGTTGAGTTTTTGAGAAACTTTAAATGACATTATTTAAGGTACGTGTACTCAGAAACATAATAATGTGAACAAATTACCACGAATGTAAATGTTAACGACGTGAGAGATTATTATCAAATTGTTAGCATACTGAACATCAGCTCGTTAAAATCTCAAAGGGAAGTTAATGATCTAAAATTCTTAAACAAATTAATCTCGAATGAAATTGATTGTATCCACCTACACCCAAAACTATTTTTGAAAGTTCCAGAAATGAGGCTTCATAACGTAAAAAGTGATATCTTTTACGTTCCATTTGTGAAAACAAATCAATTTCGTTGTGCATCTTTATGGAGAATGTGCAATCTAGCAAATAAATTTAGTATAGATTTTTACTCTAATCAAAACTGTGTTATACAAATTAAAAATGTATTATTAAATGACTATTCCTGAGTATTTAATGTGAAAGCGATATTGTATGTGATCAAATTCTTAGAATTAAGTAAATTTGTAATAAATGATATGTATTCAAAGGGCCTGTTTCAAACCAATAAATAAATAAATAAATAAAATAGACAGATAGATAGATAAGTAAGTAAGTAAATAAATAAATAAGTAAATAAACAAACAAATAAATAAATTTGTGCCGAAAATTCGCCGTTATTTCGCACAGCAAAATCTCTCTTCTCCGCACCGAGGTAGCTTTATCTCTACTCCGTTGCAAGAAAGTAAAGAAACAACCAAAACACACAATACAACACCTCAACTATACCATACGTCCGCCAGAGCTTTAAAACTATGTATCTGAGGAAGGGACTGCCTTTCAAACCGACGAAGCTCCGGCAACACTAAAACAGTTAGCTCGACACGTCCTTACAATAGACAGAAGACAAGCACCTTTGCAACAAAAATAATAATAATAATAATAACAATAATAATAATAACAATAACAATAACAATAATAATAATAAAGAGAGAAATAGAGATTGATTGGAGTATAAAATTAGATTTTCTGGTATGTGATTTTAAATTAAACAGACAGTATTTCTTGTAGCAGCCCTTGCAATGTCGCCTTTGGGAAAGGTGGCCTCCGCGGCGTAGGCATTTTTGCAGAGAGAATGGAAAGACCGCGAAGGCCACCTTCCCCATAAGAGATAGTTGTGTAAGGGCTGCTACAGGAAATATTGCACTTTAATTTAAAATCAAATGTCAGAAAGTACAATTTTATACACAAAAAATAAAATCAAAACAATCATATATGTTACATCATTGCATTCCTCTTTTTATGACTGATCTCTTGCTATTGAGAAAAATATATGGTTCCATTTAATAAATCAAAGATGATTAAATTTCTGGAAACCTAAAAATATTTCAAACAATATCTCTATACCATATTACTTGCCCCATGATTCTGCACTGTTGAGCAAAAACTGCATTTCGATATTGTTTACTGTTTAGAAGTGATGGGGTGGCCCATTGTTAATGGGACTCCCTGCGTATAGTATCGATCAAGATTTATCTACTTTTTCGTTACCGGGGCCTGACAAGAAAAGTTTTTGTCGTCGTTTTCCAGCTCACGATTACAATACCTAATCTTCTTACGTAAGTAGGAGTGAAAAAGTAATAAATCTATGCCTTCAATATTGTAGTTGTAGGAACGCGGAAAATATTGAACTTTTGCAAATTTCGAAAAATCGAGTACTTCAATGAAGATGAGACCTGCTCTATTCTCTTAAGCGTTCTTTACGCTATCCAAGGACAAAGTTTATTTAAAAGTTGCAATTTCCAGAAAATTTTGAAAATGCTGATAATTCATATAAAGTACCCCTAAAAATCAAAATGTCCATTTCAAATTCAGAGGGGGCTACGAGTTCCTTTAAATTAATCGAGGAATAGCAATTTTAGTTATAAACATCTGAGCAGTTTTGGCGCTAGTTTTGACCACAGATAGACAGTCATGTTTCACCGTCAGTCGATTTTTCAATACCAAGGACTCATAAAACGTGGATTATGACTACATAACATGATTGAGGAAGTAATTTGCTATATATTCCTTGATTCTCTCCATTATATATTTTAATCCTCTTTTCATTACCCGGGCCCAACAAGAGTTTTTCTGACGAGAATTCCCCATTTCTCGGTACAAAGTTGCAAATTTTTCTCTTCTTACAAAGTAAGGGCGAGAAAATAAAAAGTACCATCTGTGTTTGTGGACCCCTCTTCATCAGTGTCTTGATTGATTCGGTAATTCATTTGCATTCCACATTTCTCAATTTTCGGATTTTTTTTAAAAAAATGAAGTCCGTTCTTCAAAATATATTGTCATGTAAACGTTTTTAAAATAACCTGTGTTTTTTCAAATTTTTGAGACAGCGTCTCTAACTGAATTGGCTACTATGGTCGGTGAAGTCACGGAAGTATGCAACGCGAGACAATGCAAGTTCCTGGATGGTTGAGCGTCTGGGAACCCCTGGGATCTAAGGGCGCCGAGCCTCTGACAGAAGAGATAAAAGGCAAAGACTGACTAGGGTACTCCACTCCATGTACGACACTAGTCATGACCATCATATACTATAGGCCGTAATACTCCGATTTGGCTACAGGGTACGGAGTCCATCAAGGTTCGAAGTTGCTGATGGTTTCATTGTCCCAGGTGATTTTGTCGTGGCAATGAACTTAATACGGCATTAAGGTGAGCTGCTATGCTTAACACGTACATGTGAAAACATATCTGGACGTAAAATACATTTTTATATTTTAATGTCTTTTTAGAGAAAAGGGCAGTTTTATCTGCAAAATCGGTTGATGATTTCAAGTTTGTTCTGTTTTAAAGGTATAAAACGTTAAATAGTCTGTCATTTACCATGCTGTCCTTGTTCCTAAAGTATATAAGGAACATAGTTTCGTCAGGTGGCCATCCACAAATTCTACAATTTACTTGTTTTTAAAGGAGAAAGTAAATTTCTTACTTCCTTTCCTCATTTACTTTTGAATTGTATATTTATATGCTGTGATGTCTTTACGTGCTGTGAATTCAAATACACCGTGAACATTGTGAACATATTGTTGTGCACCAACGTTATTTTTTTCATATAATCTATTTTTTTCTATTGATATATGCTTGCTTTTAGATACCAAAACATTGTTTTGTGACAGGGTTTTATGTATCAACTAAGGAAGAATATATTTCTGTATATATTTCCGAATGATGGTGAAAGAAGGTCTCAGTAAATAAAAAAAACTCGATAGACAGTACACTAACAAGCAGACTCGTGAATCCATAAAACATTTTAATAACATTTAAAACAGGGAGGGAAAAGAGAAATATGGTTTTTACTTTCATGCTACGGAGAAGAGAACAAGTTGTGCAACGCTGTGCGAAAAACAGCATTTTCGTTAGTACAAATCTTATTGTAGGGCTCTGGTAACGAAAAAGTGTATTAATGTAATTGCTAAATTTAATAAAAATCATCTATCACGTTCTGTTTTCAGAATTCATGTTATGTGGGTGCGTTATACGTCTGTCTGTTCGTCTGTGAACAACGGTAGCGGCTAAAGCGTTCACCCCATTTTCTCCAAAATTGATATTCATCAATCATTCTGGCTGATGTCACGGCCCCTTGAATTTGAAACTGATATTTTAATTTGGGGTACTTTTTGCAAAGCCCTTGAGGCATTTTCCAAATTTTCAAAAAAATGGCTCCACTTTTTTATTAAATGTTGTTGTTGGATAGAGTGAAGGATGTTTAAGACAATGGTACAGGACTCATATTCATTAAAAACCCTGCTTCTTCGAAAATTGCAAAAGTTCCAAAGTTTTTAGGAATCTTCCTACAACTAAAATATTAAAGGTAGAGATTTTTCCCTTAATGAAATCTGTTCCTTAACATATTCCCTGTCCCAATAAAACATCAAAATATATACGCACGTCCTTACGACTCCATATTAAAATTTTATTTTAATTTTCTCAAAAATTAAAATAGTTTTCTACGCGTCCAGGTGTGTTTCAAAATTCCGTGACTACCCTAGTGAATCCAAACCAAAATCTGTGCAGCTACGGCAAATTCCGTGGAAATATTAGCCTTAGAAGTTGTAAACGTTTGTGACCTACATGTTGTTCACAGACGATTAAAAACATTGGGTGTTACATTTTGTAAACCACATGTAACTCATAGGACAGTGAACGTGTTAAAAATAGATTTTAATATAAGTTCATGTATTATTTTTCGAAAATTTTGTGTGAAATACGGGCCAGAAATTACGTGTTTTTCTTTTTTTTAACACTACTAGTTTCTATTCAGTAATCTCCCATCCTTATTTCTAAAGTCTACGAAAGCTGTCATTTCTGCAGTATAAGATTTATCTAATGGGTGTCAGTTGACAATTAATTACTAAATAATTAATGTTACATCATTTAGAACGATGTGCATAGGAAAATCCATATTACGGGAATAATATGGAAAGCTTTAAACATTTATATATAAATAAATATTTATGTATTTATGGTTATATAGAATGTTGTTACAAGTTACATAACAGTCATGACAATTGAAATAAATAATATTTTTCCAAAAAGGTTACATATTTTTTTCTCAAAATGTTTTGCTTTAATACAGCAAAGTTGGCTTAATAATATGCGATAGGTCTGATGTTCATCAAAACCTCTTAGCTTAAAGTAAAAAAAAAAGTAGAAATTCAAAATTTTTTGATACCCTTCTATAATGACATTAAAGTTTTTCTTTCTCTACGTATTTTCGAAAATTGCAAAAAATTAACATGGCAAAAGTAAAATATTAATTAAAGAAATGTTTTCCTTAATAAAATCTGTTCTAAAAATTTAAGTGTTTCAATGAGGTAATTTTGTTTCAAGAACAGGTAGTTTTCGTTTAATTTCTGCTTCAAATTAGGTAATGTATTTTTTTATTCTTAAAACTTCCAAATGTTTTCCTTTGATTGAGTAAAAGAATCATCAAATCAAAAAATGGTGCAGATCTCATTTTCATTGAACTGTCAGTTTTAAAAATTTGCATCAATTAGTTATAATGCGAGGCACCAATAGTTTTTTTTTGTGTCTTGGGAAATCTGATTAAAGCTGTGCGAGTGGTGGTGTAATGGAAATGTGATTGGAGTGTTGACTTGAAAGACTCAAGTTCGAATCTTGAACTCAGACAAAATCCTTGGTTGGAAACAGTTTTGTGGATTTATGGTGTAGCATTATATTGCATAGTCTTTACAAATAATCCCAGAAAACATGTGCTGTTGTAGCACAACCAGTTTTCCCAGAGGTTGGAATCTATTTCTGAGGGAATTATGTAAGAATCGAACTCAAGAATTATCATTAACTTGTACTAATACACCTTTAACGGCTTTGTAACTACAATCTATTTTTAATTAGTAAAATACACCTTGTTCACCTTAATTTACTTGTATTCCTCATAAATAGACTGGTATTTAATTAGCATAACTCAGAAGTTTGAAGTTTCTTTGAAATAAAAAAGTAGAATTCCAAGAGAGAAAAATTTAATCATTTTATTATTCTTTTTTGTGTATGTTTTATTTTAATTTTAGAGTGTGCTCTTATTTCTTATTGTCATTTTGGGGATGCTTTTTTTCATTTTTTTATTAACATGATAATTAATATTCTAGGAACTGGACGTAGATTGGATGCTTCAATTGACTCGAGTCATGGAGTGCTTAAATGCGTCAACAATGCTTATGCCTGGAAAACACATGAAAAATGGTATGTTGTAAAATAAACATTGATTTTGATTAAACTCTACAAGTGAACATACTATTATTAAAGTGAGTGTGTATGTAACACATACACACTCATAATGTAACACATAACACATTATATCATATTGGGCGAAAAAAGTGTGGACTTGCGGGAAGAAATTGCATTTTGTGGGATTCCGTGGGCGGAATTTTTTGAAATAAAAACAAGTATTTTTCATGTAATATGTGACTGAAATTAATGTAAATTATAAAAACAGTTTCTCAAAAACTCCAGTTGGTTTTTCTTTCATTTTTTCCATGTGTAAAACAAAATGTACTTAAAAGAAAGGTGAATGTTTAATTTTCGTTGATCACTTAAGTTTAGAGAATTGCGTGTTGGAAAGATTGAGTTGTGGCAATTAGAACTTTAAGTGACGACCCGAGTTCAAAAATTAGACTTACCATGGTGTAGAGGCAAGGCACATGGCGAGTTAACTCAGGAAACTTGAGATTGAGTCTCGATAAGGAAAAATGTTTCATAGTTGAAAACAATTTTGCAAATCTGTGCACAAGTATAATATAGTGGAGCAGGTAGAAACAATGCGAGAAAGTATGCGCGGTTATAGCTTCCCTAGATATTTATTGACGACCTGCCATCATTTCTCACAGTCACTCTTTATTGTATGCTTATGACACTAAGATATACTCCAAGGTTTCTGATGATGATGCTTGCATCTGCAACAAGATCACAATAATTTGAGTTTGCAGTGCAATGCTGATGTATTACATTCTGATACATGTTTTGCTGTTACTTTTTCACATTGTAGATACTGTACTCAGTACCTGTATCATGTGAATGGCTACTCACTAACAACTGTTGAGGATCTTTAAGTGTTCGTTGACAATAAACTTAATTTCAATCTTGTATCTACGATTGTTAATAATGCCTTGAGAACACTGGCTTTCATTATGAGAAATGCCAGTAACTTCTCAAATATTAATATGTTGAAAATTTTATACTATTTTATCAGACCTCTCTTGGAATATGCATCTGTTATCTGGTCTCCTTGTACTCAATTTTGTGTTTTGTTAGGATTCAGAGTAGATTCCTATGACAAATAGTGTATGAATAAAACCTTCATGCCTAAATTCAATAATGATTATACAAATATTCGCAAATTTTTATTCTGTCCACATTGTGTCAGAAAAGAAGCTGCAATGATTTATTATTTTTGTACAATGTTCTGAATAACCCCACTGAATGCAACAAAATTATATCCTGCATATCTTGTATCATCGCCCATAGACCAACTCATAATAAACCTCTTTTTCTAACTTCATGCTGCAGAGCAGACTATGCTTCCAATAATATTTTTGATCAAATTCTAAATTTGCATGACTTTTATCAGGACAGACTTTTTCAATCCTTGCTTCCAGCAATTTGTAAGACAACTTTAAAATGTTTTATTTATACTCTCTTAATACCAAATATTCTTTTTTTAAGCTCATATCTTTTGTATGGCAATGACTTTTTTTTAAATTTTGTAATTTTTATATTTTCTACTTACATGTTCATGTCATTATGTATGATATTTTTCTTTTTTGTGAAGGTCTCATCCTGTTTATTAAAATAAATAAATTATCATTGAACATCACGATTGGTATATTTTTTATACCAGTGTTACCAAATACCATTTTTGTTGCATGCAATTGTTCATAAAATGACATTTCATGCCAACCTCACTGCCCCTTCCGTCCTAGTCGCCTTCTGCAAGATGTCATAATACCAATATCCATGTTGCCAACTGCAAAACTGCTTTTTAAATTTGTTTCCAAAATTAATGTGGGTTATTTTATCAATTTGTAATGCTGTATATGGCTACACAGTATATAGCTGTTCAAATAGCACATGCAACATGTTTGTAATGTTGCTACATTGCATTCGTATAAATTTGAAAACTTGCTCGTAACAATGCTCATTTTCAAAACATGTATTTATGCAATAAAGCATAACATTGATGTAACTTGTTTATTTTATTTTGTTCACAGGCAATAAAAGTTTATTTCTTCAGATTAATCTGTCAACAGAAGCTTCTTTTTTTGGTGTTGGTAAAAGTGCTGATGAAGCTATACAAGACGCTGCCTATAGTGCACTTGTATTTATCAATATCCAGTTACGAAATGTGAAAAAAGCTCATGATCTTGCTTGAATAAAAATTATATAATGTGAAATCTGTGATAAAAGTAAAGTTGATTTACTATGAAATATAATGCAATTGATAATTTTATGATCAAAAGTTCGTAGTCATGCATTTAGTTCCTCTTTTTTGTAAAAAATGAGTTTACAAACAAACTGTCAATTTCAGAAATAACAATTTTCAAATTAACTGTCATCAAAGCTCTTAGAAGTGAAGTTTTCAGTCCCAATAGTCTTCAAATGCAAATGTATGAATTTTCAAGCAAATTCATCAAATTTTAAATACAATATTAACAGTGTAATGTGTGTTTCCATTTGGTTTTTGGACATCTCAGTGTGATTGGTCATAGTAGTGCATTAAACTTCTTTATGATTGCATTGCATTTGTTGCATGCATTTTCTTTGGCACATGGATGAATCTTTGTGAATTGTTGTATTTTACTATTGTGATTAATGAATTATGTGGTGCTATTGTTACAAATTCTAAATTTATTTGTTAGCAGTGTACAAAAATGAATGTTTCTGTAATTGTGATTAAAACATATAACTGAAAATTTAGATTATTATCAGATATTGATGTGTAATATCTTTATAAAATTCATTATTCTGATGAGATGTTTGTATTCATCTTTGTAGTTTGTTTCTGGCTAACACATATTTTACAAAAAATTGTGTCTTTGAAATAGGTTAAATCTTCAGTTAAATTCAAGGGTAGGATGTGGGGAAGGAAAAAGTAAGGAGAAGAAAATGACAAAAAATTGTTTGTATTGTTTAAGTATTAACATGTATGTTTCCAACAGTTTATGTTTTGGTTGTCATTAAGTTATCAATAAAGTTTACTTATGGAGTTTCAAATTGTGTGTGATGCATTTAAAATTTGAAAATGTCAGAGTGGAGCAGAATGTGGCTCAGATCACCACTCACTGAAAGTAGTTCTGTATTTTACATTCTCTAATGACAGCAAAGAAATTTCGACAATGGATGATAATATGTTTCAAATTGACACAAAACAATATAACTTAAAAATTAGAAAATAATTTAATTAAATTTATGTTTAAAATACAACTTTCAGTGTAATGAAATGAAATTTCTGTTTTTCCGCTTTGAATATGTATGAAGAAATCAAAAATAAAATCCATGAAGTAGCAAACAAAATCTTAGGAGAAAGGAAAATGATAGAGGGTAATTTCAATAGAGTCACTGGTGGAATGAAGATATTAAAAAACTAGTAGATATCAAGAAGAACCTTTACCACTAATGGCGGTCAACAAAACAACACGATGATAGAGAGCAATACATGAAACTAAACAGAGGGGTAAGAAGAAGAGTAACAAAAGCAAAAAATGATACATGGCAAACCTAATGTGAAAGAATAGGAAAGTGCTTAGGCAGCTCTCGATCAAAAGAAACATGGAAAACACTCAAAACCATGAAGAACAACTAGAACAAAAAATGTCATTTACAAATTATACAGGCTAAAAATGGAGGGATGAAAAGATGTTCAGAGAAAATCAGATGGATTTCTTGAATATAACACAAACTGCTGTGGATAGTGATGAAAACATTAATGAAATTAGTAAAGAAGAAGTCCAAGAAGCTGTAAGATTGATGAAAAATGGAAGATCTGTTGGACAAGATGGTATAGCAATAGAATTAATAAAAAATAGACCAGATGTATTATTCAAGCAATTAGCCTTTATTTTCAACTATATGATAAGGTAGATATCCCTACAGTATATATATGACAGCATAAATGACAAATATGTATAATAAAGGAGATCATAAAGAATGAACAAATTATAGACCAATTAATGTGACAAATTCTGTTTCTAGAATATATGGAAAAATGATAGAGACCAAACTGGAAAACACAAGCAACGATGTTGAAGAATAAAATGGTTTTTGGGCAGGAAGATCTTGCATTAATGGAATATTTTGCCTTCATCAAAGAAGAGATAAAATGCTAGTACATAATCTAGAGACACATATCTCGCAAAAGATCTCGCAAAAGCTTATGACAAATTATGAGAAGTTCTCAGACATCAAAACATAAATATGCAATTAATACCAGCAATTCAAAACCTGTACAATGATATGACAAGTTGTATCAAAATTGGAAGAAAGATAAAGAATCCATTTAAAATATCTAAAGGTCTGAGACAAGGATACTGTATCGCTTGTACTCTCTTCAAAATATATTTAAATGCTGTTCTTGAAAATTGGAGAGTAAATGTTGGAATATAGGGAGCCAAGTTGAGAATGATACATTTTTGACCCCTTCACTTCACTGATGACCAGGTTATTCTTGCTGAGGATGAACAAATATAAATTATATGCTGAGGAAATAAAATTAATAATATACATCTTGGAGTTTAACTATGTATCCATCAAAAACTGATTATGTTGTTGCGGGGTCGCAAGAAACATACTTAATAATTGGGAGCAGGTGCAATAAGAATACAACAGCTTATAGGTACCTTGGTGTGTGTGTATCAAAGGAAGGTGGATGTGCAGAAGTCAGAAATAGGATCTCTCAAGGGAGAGTAGTGACAGGACAGTTGAGTAATGTTTTCTGTACTCAAAAAAAACAAAAAACAAAGATAAGAATATACAAATCGCTGGTTGAAAACATATCCACATACGGTACACAAGTTTGGATTTTAAGTCAGAGCGAAGAGCAAAAATTAATATCAATAGAAATGAACTATTGGAGACACTGTTGTGGTCTTACATTACTGGATAAAGTACCCAATGTTGACATAAAAAATCAAATGGATATTGATATTGATATAATGGATGTCATTGATGCTACAAGATTGAAATAGTATGGTCATATCCAAAGGATGACAGAAAGTCGATGGTCTAAGAATTTTTTTAAAAAGTTACCTCAAAGAAACAAGAAGCGTGGCAGACCAAGAAAAAATTGGAAAAATGAGATAGAAAAGGCGATGAAGAAATGAGATTTTCAAGAGGAAGATCGAAGGACGATCGAGACCAAGTGCATAGTTAATGAGCCGCTCAATGTAGAATAATTTCCCATCCCGAGGCCGGAGGATTTGTCCCAGAGATTATCGGGTAGGCAAAGTTTTAGGAAAATGAATTTACGTGACGCCTATTTATAGATACCCCTAGACGAGCAAGCAAAGAAGATCTTAGTCATCAACACGCCCTTGGGACTGTTCAGATTCAACGTGCTGCCATTCAGAGAGAACTCAGTAGTCGCGCTCTTCTAGAGCTGTTTGGTACAACTGGCAGCGCAGCTCCCGGGCTGCGTGAATTACTTGGACGACGTCATCGTCACTGCTACGAGGAGTAAGCAACACAAGGGGATTCTTCGGAAGCTGCTGGCGGGTCAGCAAGACAATGGCTTTAAGGTAAATAGAAATGTGTTTTTTAAAGACGAGATGACCTAGATCATGTTCTGGCGTCCACGCAGGAGCATGTGAAGGCCATAGTAGACTTCCCCACCCCAGGATATTAAGTAGCTACAGGCGCTGATAGGTAAAATCAACTCCTACAAGTTCATAAATGGATTTTCTTCAATTGGGGCGCTGTTGAACGCGTTAAAGAAAAAAAGAAGTCAAATTTCAGTGGACGCAGCCGTGTCAGGAAGCCTCAAGGCGGCCATGGCGAAGGCGATCAGGTTGTCGCACTTTAGACCTGGGAGAGTGACATCGGTGGCAGCAGACGCTATGAGTGGGAGCCGTGCTCTCTCAGAAGGATGAATTTGATGTAGAGACTCATCGCGTTCGCCTCAAGAAACCTGAATAAAAACCAGCGTAATTATTCCCAGACCGAGAAGGAAGCTCTGGCCTTGGTTTTTGGGGTGCGGAAGATTAACGACTTCCTGTATGGAGCCAAATTTCAGCTCTACAGACAATAAGCCATTGGTTCACTTGTTTCATCCGGGAAAGAAGTGTCGCGAGTTGAGGGGGAGAGGGAGTCTTGCATCAACTCATGTAGGGAGAAAGTAGAGTGTCCTTTAAAGATGTTTATTATACTCACCCGCGTAGTGGACCCATCGTCCAGGGAGTGAGTGGCGAGACGTGAAGAGAGAGGCGAGGTGTGAATCCCTCGCCATTTTATAGCCTCGGAACGCTGGCGTCGGCAAGTGACAACTGGGTCACTCGCCGGCTGCAGCGTGTCGCGAGGGCGGAAATGCCATATCGCGACACCACCCTCTCCCCAGAAAAAGGGCCGTTTCGAGTTTGAGTTTGAAATATACATTATATATATATATATATATATATATATATATATATATATATATATATATATATATATATATATATATGCCCATGCAGTACGCATGCCATAATCCTTAACAGTTAATAAAATTAAAAAAGTAACAAATCACAGAGCTTATACACTACCAGCATATTTGCTAATGTCTTTGACTACTGAAATTACTGAGTATTTTATGGACGATTAATTTACTCAGATATGAACAATAACAATTTATCACTAAAGGTTTGTTAATTTTAATAATCATTTTGTTACGCCCGTTGCTTTATGAGAGAGTACTTTAAGACAGAGGTTAGCACCCTTTTGAGATAAACATTTAGAAGCTAAAGATATTAAAATTGCCAATTGACCTAAAGAAAATATAAACAAGAAATCTAAAATTAAAAATGTGTCTAATATGAAAGACAGTTACGAAATCATTTACATTATATACAGAACAAAAGAGAGAACCAATAATGCACCAAATCTGCTCTTGTTTACAAGGGAATTAAAAAACAGAGACGAGAGACAAAAAAATATTAAAAGGCCTTTGATGGAGCCCATTGGCGAGGGCACATAGGCTGCAGCCTGCTAGTGGGAAAGATGATTCTACCAACGTTTCCTCACTGTCTTACGTCTGCGATGTCCAACGCGGTCGGACGGATACAAGCATACAGCTCCTATTACAGAGAAGATCCACTCGCTCGGGCCATTGACTGCCTGCTAGTGGGAGATGTGATTCAATCAACGTCTCTTAATAGCTCTGCTTTTGTTAACCCCTGCCCAACC